GACAGCACTAGAAGCGTGTTAACTGTTGCCGTGCAGTAACTAGGCTATTCCTTTGTGTGCAGGAGATCAAAATCCTTAGAGTAATGTGATAAAACTGTAGGATTCCATGACTCCTCTTCAGATTCTTAGTAGATATTTTTAGTTTACCAACCCAGAGGTGCTTAATGACCTAAGTACAACAAAGAATCCACAACAGGAGATGATTTTAAAGAGATTCTAGAGTGCTTAAATCCAGTTCTGTGGTTAGCCAATGGGAATTTATTTTTTTTTAAAAAAATCAAACAAATACACTTTTGGACAGTGCCAAGTTGAGTATTTTAGGGTGATTAAAGGGTCTTCAGTACTTCAAGAAAACATTGATAATACCATAGAAACCTTTGGCTCCTCCTTACTTCTATCACAAGATACATGCTTCATTTACTTCCTGGACTTTCCTGCTGTAACTTTTGAATTCAAGAGTATCTTCTTTCCAGGAATGTTCCTTCCAATTCAAAAAATTACTATCAGGCCTCCTGCCTAACTAGCTACCAATCTTGTCAGGCAAGCGATTCCCAAAGTATGAACATATACAGCACTGAGGAAATGCCACAGGTAACTCCACACTGGTTCTCTTGCTAGTTAAATGCCCTTTTCTGTGTTACAAAAAAAAACAATGTCAGAAGGATGTCATCTACATTAGAAAAAGCACGCCATCAGTAGTAGGAGGAGCACATGGCTAATCTGTTTACACTAGAGAAGCTGACCAATTCTCAGATTAAAATTCAGTTGACTCTTTTCCTTTTCAATCATGTGATTTCTCCCTCTCTGGGAGTACAGCAAGAATGGAAGTAGTTATCGTTCCTGCAGCACAGGACACATGGTCTAAAACACCATCCTTATAAAAGAATTCACATGTATCAATCTTAGATTAACTCTTACTCCTGATCCAAATTCCATGACTATAAATACCACAGCCATTTTCTCAGTTAACGCATGCATGATTTACAGATGTATGTTTTCAGCATTGTAACTGTATTTCCTTATTTCCCCATTAAATCTGCAAAACTCATATTCCCTTCCACAAACACGGAAAATAAGAGTATTTTTCTTGCTTTGCCCACATCATCATCCCAACTGCCATCAGTTGCACTTCTGAAGAGATTTCATACCTTCTTTTGATTTGATCCCACAAATCAAAGTGAGAGTTGACCACACTTACACATCTAAATAGTGGTAAGCTTTTCTAGTGCTCCTGAAGCAGCAACTCAGTATATGCTACTACAAAAAAAAAAAAAAACAAACCAAAATCCCAACAAAAAAAAAAACGCACACAAAAAAACATGCACCCCCCAAAAAAAACCCCCACGCACCCCACCAGCCACAATTAAAATTACACACAAGAAATTAGGTTTTTAAAATAAAATCAAACTTTATTTAAGTGTTATTTAATCTGTTATGACAACCAGATCAGCTCCACAATCTTTTGCTTGTCATTGTCCAACCAGCACAAAAACAGCTGCAGGAGGTGAAGACAGCTTCCTCATGGGTTTGATATATAGAGTCCTTATAATTTCTCAGCCCACAACTCTACCATATCTTCATCCATTTATTCTTCTTCCCTAGCCACACACTGATACGAGACAGTCATTTTTCACTTGATATCATTTTGCATTTAACAAACAAAAGCCAGCTGCATCTCAGCCCTTCAATGTAACACACCAACATGAGTGTGGAACACATCTTTTCAGGACTACCAGTTTATGCAGCAATTGTGTTTTTCCTATCCATTCCCTTCCCATCTACATGTTCACTGAACAAAACCAAACGAACCCCATCTAGATTTCCAACTTGACTTATTTCTAACCTATTTATCCTTCTTAAGCTAAAAACAACTCCTACAGCTAAAAAAAAAAATTCTCATATTTCAACAGTAATCCTCATCCTTCCTATATGTATTCATCGCTGCTGATCCCTGGCAAAACCTATACATCCTCTGAAATACTACATGTTTTTCTCCTTGTTTTCCTGCTCTCACCACCTGAGCTGTGATCACTGGGAAGGAACCTGCAATACCATTCCAGCTATGATTACCTACTCAGTACACTCTTCTGAGTTCAGGCCACAGAAAGATTTGCTCAGTAGGTCATGCATTTGTTCTGCATCCTCAGTTACTGAATCACTGAAATATATTTTTCCAGAGTTTCTTTCACGACCCGATGTATTTTAGCATTCATTTTACAGTGAATGACAAGTCAAAAACACTATGAGAACTTTGTTCCAACTTAACTGCTAGTTTCAGTTTACAGGAAGAGAGCTGACCATACACTAACACAAGAGGTACAAGAGAGCTTCACACAGTTTCAACTATAAACAAATACCTCTGCCAGGGATACCACAGTTTCACTAATACAAATCAACATGAATTGCTTTCTAGTTATTCGCTGCCAAAGCATAAAATTTCCTATTCAAGTTCACTACCACAGTTCAAACATCACATCTTCCTCAAGTCACTGCCATACAAAGAACATGACATACATGAAAAGTAAGATAGCTGTCCTTAACTTCATTTTACAACATGCATTTTCATTTTTAAAACCTTTTTCAACAGAAAAGATGCTCTAGTAATAAGTCATGTTCTTTATGATTCCCAGTGACCATCACACGTTCTCTTCAGGCCTTCTTCCCCCTCATATGATCGTTGGCTTTTCCTTACTCCTACTAAGCTCCTTTGCCACTCCCTATTACTGCCAGTCTGCTGCAATGGTCTAGCATTCACAGCATTATCCTGCATGACAAGGGTAACAAGCTAGAAGTCTTTTCACTACCAATGCTCTGTCTCCAATTGGTCGGCATTTCTAGTTCGCCTTAAACTGGATTTGCAAGCTGTGACATTATCTCAGTATGAGACTATCTTGGTTCAATCCAGCACCTTGAAAGCACTCAGCTGACAGCACACACAGACACGCGCAGTCCAACACAACCAGCTGGGCCCACTGTCACTGTAGAAGTGACACCAGCTCCCCAGCACCCTGCTTCAGCACATGAGGATGCAACAGATTACCCAAGAGGGAGGCCACAGAAGTCAATGCAGAGTCTCAGCACTGGTTCTTCAGCCGTACAACCCACAAAGCATCTCTGACCAGCCAGGCATCCAGCAGCTTCTCCTATTTTCACAAAAGCCAGTAAGGTGCTATTATAACATTTTTGTGTAAGCAGTCCTGAAGGGAAGCACACAACTGAAATCCTGCATATTTTATGCTAGACAGTTTCCTACAAAAGCCACCATCCCTCCATGTTGTTCTGTGCTTGCAGTTGTCAGCCAGCATGGTCCCTGAGCAAGGAGAACGTCTGCTGTGTAGACAGTGCAAGCTAATGGACAGATGAGGGGTGGGAGTCAGCATCTTCAGGGGCAATTTCACTCCATCATTGTTTAGAGGCACCAGAACCTTTTATTTATTTATTCCTTTAAGTTTGCTTAAACCTGGCATGTTACTTAAATTCAAGCAGGCTAGAGAGACCTTTATGAAAGACTCAAGCATTTTCCTGCCTGCACTTGCAGATGTTATGAAGTTTGAGTAATGGCCAAGCCCAGAGAGACAATTACAGGCCTGCAGATACAAGGTTACAAGAAAACTCAACTAGATTAGACACCTCGCTGTCACTGAACTGAGTGGGTGAACTGACCTACCAATCTAGGTGTTTATGTAAATCACATCACTTCTTTTCATACTTCTCATTCTTTAGATATGAGAATAATTTCTAAGATTATTTGTGCAGCCCAGCATCAGCTGTAATGGCAGAAGTAAAATTCTCCTCTGCTCAATGCTCAGAAGTCCTCAGAGACCTGATTATTAAGCACTTTTTAAGACAAAAAAAGGCATGAAAATTAATTTTCTAAAGTTTGCTTCAAAAAAAGCAATGCCTGATTTTTGGAGAGGGAAGATGCAAGTATTTTTCCCCTCTTCAAATACACTGAGATGATCTGAAAAATTCCCCTGAAACCTCCTCACCAATCCAGTACACTTTTACCTGCATTACACAGACTTCATGTTTGTTACAGCATCGAGGTTATTTGGGGGAAGATACTCAACAGTGACTCAGGCCACTCAGCACCCAATATCACAGAAATCTCTTCAAAAAGCCAGCAATTCCTGCTTGGTCTAACTTTACTTCTTTCCAGGCTGATTCATCATCACATTTTTCTAAGTGTACTTTCATGCAAACGAGGACATGAATGGAGGTCCTGAAAAGGAGTTAGAATAATGCAGCAACAGTTCCTCCCCCACACCTTAGACTAAGTCTTACTTCCCTGGCTGCCGACTCCCAGTGGAAGTCAAACAGCAAGATTATTTCTGCCTTCTCAGTACCGAACAACCTACCTCACCTAAAGGTTTCTAACCCGTAATCCCCAGATAATTTCCAAGTGATTTACAAAAGGTAACTAAGAATGAAGTAAAGTAAATTGGCAAATCAGCCAAGAGCACACTGCTATACTTGGGGCATTTGAGAAGCTACTTTAAAAAACAAAACAAAACAAAACAAAAAAACCCCCACCTTAATTAGTTTGTTGTGACAGGTACAACTGAATAGCACAAACAGTACTAGAGGGCAAGAAGGAAGATGATGAATGGCACGCAAATGACTTAGATGAAAGTGTTGGTTATCTGTACTGGACTTTTGCCTGGTTACCAAGACTAGACATCTTTCTAAAAATCCCATACACATTAACAACATTTAAGATCCGATTTGTTTGCACTAGGTACCACACTCTTGGAAATACTGTCTTACACAGGATTTTTACCCAGCTTAGCAGTTTGCTCAAGGCTATCGCAAACGGCTGACAGTAATCAGGCAGATCTCAAGAGGGACCCCTGCAATCTACTTACTAGCTCTTTCAGATGTTCATAAAGCCATTACACAGTTGCACCTTTGAAATCACATTCAATTCCCATTCCAGCTAAAAGAGATTCAGTATGGCATGTGGCAACAGTTCCAAGGTTAGGAATAAAAAAGGTTTAGACACAAGTTCCTATTAAATTCTCCTCAGAACAGCTTCGAGCAAAAACCTGCATTTATAACTCTCTTGAAGACACAATTATCAACCCCATTCAGTCTGAGCTCTAAAGTTATAGTTTGCATGTGGCTGTTAAGAAACTGAAGTCTCTCAAGATAAAGCAGAAATTTTCATGATCAAGGTTCAAGTGACTTTAAAACATTGGATGTGTTTTGGCAGCCTCTTCTGTTCCAGACTGTGTTGTAATTGAAGCAGCAGAGCCCCGACAACAGTGTCTTGCTGGAACACTAAGAAGGGCGAAGGGAACATGCTTCTGAGGTTAAAGTGCGACCAGAAGCAGTGTAGCCTGATACCAAATTCTACTATCAATCTAGACAGCCAACGAACCTTTGTTCGCCTCCTTTCACCTCACTCTGAAGCATCCCAGACTGGCTAGTACAACATTCCCTTGTAGCACAAAGAGCTGAAATTACCCAGGGTTGTAGAAGATCTTCTTTGCAGCTCTCCAGTCAGTTGTTTTTTGTAAGGAACCGGTGACCTCAGAGACTGAGCCCTGGTGGGATGCTGAGGACTGGACCAGCCACCACTCAACACTTGTGGGTCACTCTGTCCTGCCTCTGCTCTCTCTGCTGCGGATGAAAGCCTGCCATCATCTGGAGTTGACAAAAAGCAAGAAACCAACTGTTCAGACATGATAAAGAAAACCAGTAGTGCATGCAAAACTAAGGGTAAAAAACTCTCATAAATAGCTCATTTGGATCATGACTATACATAAAAGACATGAATTTTTAGTCTGAAAAGTACCATGCAAAACATGGAAACAGGCCAGTATGTAGAACTTGTCTGTCAAGGCTCAGGCTGTTTCAGAAATATCCCTAATGTGAAAAGTGTCTAAAAAAACAAACTGGCAAGCATGGATTATTCTTGCTATATGGAATAGCTACGCTTGATTATCAGCTTCTGCCCTGAAAAGAGTTTTTCAGTTATGTTAGAAGCCAGTACTGAGGTTACATTAAAGTTACCACAGCCTTTAATAAACCACCCTTTTCCATCAGACGATCAAGTATAGACAGGTTCTCATTGATTCCAGTAACATGCCCGTTTAACATGCCCGTTTCAAGGTTGTTTTCCCATTCTTTCAACACAATACTTTGCTGACTCCAGCTACATTTGTCAAACAAGTGAAGCCAATATTGACAACATTTTATATTACTTTCAATAAATTAATAATGACAGGTGATATTCTACTATACAAATTAATAGCAGTCATACCAAGTAATTATTTTTCATTCTGCATAAGAGTCTGAACAGGTCAGTTTGCTTATGCAAAAAGCTATCTTGGCCCTTTTTCTCTAGCCTAAACATTGCAGAAGTATGCTTAGCAGAACTGGATAATAAACAGACTAAACAAAAGCAGCTGACCAGTTTGCCACCTCCAGCAAAGAGATACAGTTTTTGTACAAAACCAAGGTGCATTCATTCACTACCCTTTTACAGTGTATTTCTCTGAAACAAAAAAGAAAAACTCACATAGTTCTGTAAGAGCCTGCCTACTGAGAATATAAGTGTTTCATGATACACGTAGCACAAAGGCCAAAATCAAGCAGTACTTTTTAATATACAAAACTTTCACAACGCTTCAGACCTCTTGATGGGGAACACCTAAGCCATGCAAATTAAGGGTGTACTTCCTGTAAATACACTGCTTTATTGCAGCTCAGCTGCCACCCAGCTGAAGGTACAAGATGCACAGGAAGGTGAGGAGTGGAGGAAGTCTGGACTAAGAACTTGCATTGGAAGGACAGGCACAAATTTTGCTCATATAGGCTGGCAGAGAGTTACTCCTGCTTTTAGCCCCAAAAATTTCATACACGCAAAGGAAATCCAGATGCCCAGCTAAACAGCGATACAGTACCATCTGCTAACTGGCTTGTCTCTGACCTTCATAGGCAGCCACAGATTTCTAGCTGCAAGATGCTGGCTATCTTCTCCCACAGCAAAGCTCTACTAAAAAGCTCACCCAAAAGCAAGATGCAACACCCCTCACAAAAGAACTGACTGTCCATCCATTTGGCCAGCCATCTGACATTATGCTCTTATATTCAGAGGTGTTTTTACAAGTTTATGTGGCAGCAGAGGGCATCAACAGAACAGACAGCACATGCAATCCATGCACACACGTTCCCCCAAGCACCTACCTTTGCTGAAACGGAAGAGATTTACAAAAGAGCTGTAGGCTGATTTAAAAGGAGGCTCATCCTGGTCAGGAGTCAGGGGTTTGAAGTGAGTGAGATGAGACGGACTACTAGGAGAATGAGGTAGATCACTGGTAGAGTCCAGTGTTGGAGACCGTTTGTCATCTGCAGCCATTTCACGTGCCCTGGAAAGAGTTCAGCAACATGCATTATACACAGGGTGGTGAAACAGAACATCTTCAGTCAACTGAAGAGGAGGTGTCTCATTAGATGCTAGAGGGGGGACATTCACCCCACCTACCACAGACATCTGCTATTAGCACAGGTCAAGAGTGACAGAGTTAGGAGCCCATGTCCCCTGTCTAGTCATTGGCAAGAGATCAGCATCTCTACAGAGAGCAATTCAGAACTCCTAGTTAAACATCCAGAGCAATCAAAGTAAGCAAACAGCCACCACACTGTCTGACGACACACTCCGGTTGCTGTTTTATGGGAACTTAAGTTTTCAAATGGAGACTCTGCATGCATATCACAAAGAAGTTTTAACTTCAGCTCAAGAGAAGAGCTGTCAATGCTGTGACTTCTGCAGCCCTTGGAACAAGAACACTGAAGACAGGCACACCTGGGCAAGCACAAGACATACTCCTCGTTCGGCCAGGTTAACTTCAGAATGAGAAATAGAATGAATTGTAAACAAAAGCAGGACTAAAAGATTAAGTGGTGGCACACTGCTTCCTTCCCCTCCGCACTACACTACAGAGTCTTGTGCAAGTTACCAGAGAAGCAACCCAAACTGTGGTTTATTTGTTGTCATATCTAACACCTCCCAACTTCCTTGTTTTTGAGTAGCTACATTAAGGAAAAACAAACAAACAAAAAAACCCAAACCACATCCTATATTAGGGGAAGCCATACTTGTTAAGCCTACTTGCTGTGTACCAAAGCCTTCATACAGCCAAGAGTCATATTTTCCCACAGCCCATATTCTTTAACATCAATACATATTTGATATCTTCCATTCTGCCTCACTAAGCCTGCACTTCTAGCCTGCTAGGCTAAGGTGCTTACTACCTTAATCTTTGTTTAAGCAAGACTTAGTGAAACATTTGACAGAATAGGTACATGGGGAGCTGATGGAATCTACGAGTGACAGCTGACTTTTACCCGTGCCAGCGATCAAAACCCTGTATGAGTCTACTTCCTGCTTAGCAGCTGATACATGCTCCTTCAGGAAACACCAGCTTCCAGTTTCCCCAACTGCTCCCTAGAATCTACAGGCATATTTTGCTGACTAGAACATTTTCTTCCAAGTTCTAAGAAGCCACACTAAAAATCTATGCAGTCAGGAGAAAATCCACATGGTTGACAAGAGACACTGGAAGTGCATTGCACTGCATGCAGCTCATGTGGCAAGGTTTGACCGCTCCTACAACGAATGCACAAAAGATGGTATCTGCAAGTCAATCATATGACTTCTCAGTGGACTTTTGCTTGTTGCTCTGTAAGTACCTTTAGCTCTGAGTTTCTCCTGATATTCACATATCCTTAAGAAAGAAAACAGAGAGACATCATTCACAAAGTTTCAAAAGAAACTTTAGTCAGGTTCTTCATGTAAGGTTGAGTCTTAGTCTGGAATGCTTCTGCATCCTTCTCCCCTGTAGGTCATGGTATTTTTTGCTGTTGTGCATTTCAGCAATATTATTCCAACAACAGATGATTTGAACACGCTTAAACACCAGAGTTCATAGAAAATGCCTTAAGAGCATATCTTCAGATAAATTTGGAATTGTTTCTTTAATACTTAAAGCAACTGAAAACTTGCTTTTTAAATGTTGAATGTACGACAGGGCTGTGCTCCTACACACACTACCACATTAAAAATGCCGTTAAGAAGTCAACCATAAGTTTTATAGGAAACTATGTTCATCTCTCAGCAACTGGCTATAGCCTGGCAAGACAAAAAAACCAAGGAAGTCTCTGAACTTGCATACATCATATATGTGATTCTGGAAAAAGAAACTTTAGCTTCAAGGGAAAAAGACCACCCAGTAATCACTTCTGTGACAGCAGTACTAGCCTAATTAAAACAGATTGAAAAGAAGAGCACTGTACTTGGCATTAGCTCCAGAAATACTTGGATTTTCTGTGCTGCACAACACATTAGCTATTTCTTAAAGTGCTTTAGTTCTCCCGCTAAAAGGAAAACACTCTCCCTTTCCCCCTCCCCTCAAGAAACAGGGAAACAGTCACTTACTTGTATATTGTGGGAAATCAGAAAGCAAGGCACACATATCAGTCAACAGGCACAAAACCAGACTACATCTTCCTCAGGATCCTCACCAAACAGCCACCTTAAGCTGCAACGTCTTCAGCAATCACCAACTCATCACCGATAAAACGCCAGTACCTGTTCAGCAGTTACATCCAGAACGGCTCTGTGACACCCTGCACCCCACAAAGCTGACCACAACCGCTCAGTGCCAGAAGGGCCCAGGTACTCCTTGTTACTTGGATGTTACTCCCGGGCACCTAGCTAACACACCCCGGGTGTGAAAACTCAACACTCGTAATTTACACACAACTGCATGACACACACGCTTCACCTCCAACCTCTGCGCCGGAGCCACGCTGACCGCTTTGCCTCCCCCTCCATAGAGGGGACACC